TTATTTCCTTTTCACAAACGCACGAGGCTCGGCCACACGGCAGAGCCTGCCAAAAATAGTTTTAACTCATTGGCGTCCCTCTCCACGGAAGTCTTTAGTAAAAGGCGAAAGACTTGTACGTTATGAAGAGAAACCCGAGTAAGTACGGGCCCCTCCTCCAGAGCCGCCGACGAGCCTAGTCGTCCCGGCCACTACCCTCACGGTAAGCCTCACTCTGCCTCTCGAGTCCCAAGTACCAGGCCACGCCCGTTCCCCTACCCCTCCCCAGGTCATGGCAGGCTCTATCCAATCGGGCTGCGGAGAGACGAAGGCCTGGCTTTTGGACAGAGGCTACCGAACGACTCGGGCTCTTGTAGCCTCTCGATGACGAGTGAGAGAAAGGGAGGGGAAATGTGGCCGATCGCTTCTCGGCCTTTTGGCCAAGACTGCAATGGCCTCCTCTTTCTGGTTAAAACCTTTGCCGGTTTGGGGCTTCGTTTTGTGTCACCAGCTTTTCTGGGAGGAGATTCACCTCATTCCTTGTGAATAAAATTTCAACTTTGCCGTAGCTGAAAAACTTTTGCAACAAGGAATTCATTGGTCCCGAGGACTGCCTACCTGTCCTCTGCCGGACTGCCACCTTGACCAGACCAAAGACGAGAAGGTAAGTGTGTTTTATTCACCGATTTAGCAGTTGTAGCAGGTTTTCTTGCTTCATTTGAGGTGTTTTAGTTTCTTGTATCCTTTCTACGCTGCGGTTCCTCCACCGTGTTGGCCAACCGTGCCGGGCCTACGGAGGCGCCGCAGTGTCCCCTCCCCACCTTCTGAGAGGCTCTATCCAATCGGAGAAATGAAGGCCTGGCTTTTGGACACAGGCTACCGAGCATCCGAAATACTCGGGCTCTCGATGACGAGTGGGAGAAAGGGAGGGGAAGTGCAGGGCACATTTAACAGCCATGCCGGTCCCAAATATCCCCTCGTCGTCTGCCAATCATAAAGTGCAAATCTCGCTGCCTTCTTCGAGGCTTCAGCTGGCCGCCCCCCCTCGACTGGCGCCTTTTTCGGGCCGGCGTCCGGCAGAGCGACGAACCTCTGCGTTTGGGTCAGTATTTTGGTTTTACACAAGGCAGGAGAAGGGTGCACCGCCCCCGGAGGCACTGCAATACCGGGTCGATGCGTGGAGTGGACGGAGCAAGCCCCTCGTCTCAGCTCCCGGTGCTAAAAATCCATTTAATATGTTGCCCCCTTATAGGGGACATATCAGATATTAAACTGATAAGAACAGATTTTTTTTCTTTTGAGAAAAATTTTATTGACACTCAATTCAAACATGATTCATAATATGTCAATTCCAAGTTACCTTTTAAAATACAACATGTCAATAAATAGATAAATGTTCTCTGTAAAACAACATTTAAAAAAAGTGTTTAAAATGCATTACAGATAACGTCATAAATTAAAGGTATAAAATGGTTTTCAGCTTGTCCATGTCTGTGAGTGTCTGTTAAAAGTCTTCAAAGCGGAGTGCATTTGTTAAAATAAAACTCACAAAAAATAAATGGATAATAAAAGCTCTTCTCCAAGTCCACTGTTGTGCAGGAGTGTAGTGAGTCCCTATCAAAGGGGAACTCATTCAGCTCCCCCAAACAGATTTGGACTCTCGGGATCTTGTGCAGGCGCTCAGAGGAGACCCTCACCCTGTAGCTCCTTCCCACCAACCTCACCCGGAGGGTCAGGCCGCCGCTGCCTTGAACTTTCCTTGTGTGGCTCCGGCTCCTCCGTCCGAATGGGCACAGAGGCGATTCTTCTTTGTGGCTGTGTCCTAGGCCCGCCGCCTGCAGCTCTGGCCGTTTGGACCGTTGCTGCGGCCATCCGGATCACAGCCACGGGGGGGATCTGCATGTGCTTTCTTGCCAGCAAGTTTCTGGAGGTCCATATGGCGTCTTTGATGGCGGCTAGGGTGAGCCACTGTTTGGCAAATGTACGTGCTGGTATCTGATTTCCTTGGCTCACCCCGTACAGCACCAGCTGTGGTGTGAGGACCTCCCTTGCTGGCAAGTACGGGAATTGCAAGGAGCCGGCCGTTGCCCACTGTTCTACGGCAGCGCTGCACTCCCAGAGCAGATGCCTTACCGACTCAGGCGCGCCACAACCTGGTCGGGGGCAAGTTGAGTGCGCCGACATGCCCCGGGAGTGCATTACGGACCTGACTGGGAGGATCTCATGAGCCACCATCCATGACAGGTCCCGGAGTCTGTTTGGAAGAGCTGGATGGTTCACGTTGCGCCAAACTGTTGAGGGCTCGCCGAATGCAAGCCCGCGCACTGGACTCACTGGTTCCCGCTCCTGCACAACAGAAATGAGAGAGCGGTGAGTGGTTAAAACCTGCAACTCCTCCTGCTCAAGGTTAAAATGCCTTAAAAATGACTGGATAAAAGCATAGGCTGGTGGCAGGTTAAAAGACACTGGTACTTTGAGACTTGTGGGTAAGATCTTAAGTTTTCTGAGGTAGGACCCCATCCAGAACCGTGTCATTGCTGCGGTCTTGGGGTTTCTGGATGGGGCTGTGGCGGTTGCGATGTGTAGTGCTGTGTATCTGCTTCCTAGGAACAAGTGCAGGTCTGGCACTCCTTTTCCTCCTTTCTCCTTTGGCTTCTTCATCACGCTTCGTCTCAGTCTTTCCCACTTGGAGCCCCACAAAAAATAAAAGATGGCTCGTTCCAGGTCTAAGATCACTCTCCTAGGCGGGATAAAAACAGAACTGATGAGTAAAAGCAAAGGTAAAATCACTGCTTTGATGATTAAAACCTTTCCTTCTAAAGTCAGTCCTCTAAGTGTCCAGTACCCTAGTCTCTGCCTGACTTTCCCTACTATGTCTGCCCAATTTGTTTTCCCCTCCCCCTCCCTATCAAACCTGATCCCAAGTATTTTTTGGTCAGTCTGGGTCACAGTCAGGGGGAGTCCTGTCGTCTCAGTCGCTGTCCACGGTCCATAAAAATGGGCTTGGGTCTTGCTTCTGTTCAGCTTTGACCCAGAGGCCTGTCCGAACCAGTCAGTCAAGTCCAGCGTCCTGTTGACAGATAAAAGGTCAGTGCATAAAATGTTGATGTCGTCCATATATAAAATACATTTTGTCTCGAGTCCCCCGCTCCCTGGGACTCCTACCCCATGGATTCGTTGGTCCCTTCTCAAGGTCTGTGCCAGTGGTTCTATACAGATAACGTAGAGGAGGGCAGATAACGGACAACCCTGACGGACACCGCAGTTTATATCCACTGCTCTTGTCAGATGCCCGTTAACAATGAATTTGCTGTTGATCTCCCGGTACAGCAGTCCCACCCAGGCTATAAACCTTCTCGGGAACCCCATTTTTTGCAGTACCTGGAAAAGGTACTGGTGCGAGACCCGATCAAAGGCTTTCTCAAAATCTAAATTCAGGACTACTAGCCGAATGTTTCTGTCTCTCGCGTAACAGATGGTATCTCGGATCAGTACGAGGCTGTCGGTGATCTTCCTCCCCGGGACGGCACAGGCTTGATCCGGGTGAATCAGATCTTCTAAAAACAAGGACATGCGTGAGGCTAAAAGTTTACTAAAAAGTTTACAGTCAAAATTTAAGAGTGTGATAGGTCTCCAATTTTTCAAGTCCGTCTTGTCTTTGTCTTTGTGAAGGAGAGTCACTATCCCTACTCTAAAGCTGTCAGGAAGTCGGTCCATTTGTTCAAAATCCATAAAAACAGCAAGCAAGTCTGGTGCTAAAATGTCCCAAAATGTCAGATAAAATTCCAAGGGAAGCCCGTCTTCTCCCGGCGACTTCCCTGTCTTAAAAGATTTGATGCATTTGTTTAATTCCGGTATCGTAAAATCTTGGGTTAAAAGCACGTTGTCGTTTGTTGCTTGGTCAATGGATTTTAAAACTTCGTCATGGTGTCCCCGTTAACAGTTTTGTATGCGTACAGTTCACGGTAAAAATGTTCGACAGTTTCTTTGATTTCCTCTGTTGTGTCAGCTGTGCACCCGTTTTCTTTTTTAAGTCTCAACATGGCCCCCCCTTTATTTACGATTTTCTTAAAAAAATATCTTGTGCACTTCTCTCCTTCCTCTATTTCCCTTTCCTTGCTTCTTAAAATCACACCTTTGCTGTTCATTTCTGCTAAAACCGACATCTCTGTTTTAATTTGTTTTATCTCTTCATTAAAATCCATTCCATGTTGGATTAGTTTAAAATACCTCTGAAGCCGTTTCTGCAGTCCCAACATGCGTCTGTTGTCCCTCTTTTTCTTTCTTTTCCCTGCCTGTCTGTAAAACGTCTTTGTCTTTCCCTTCACCATTTCCCACCACTGTGCACGTGTATCGTAAAAGTCTTGAAGGGTCTGCCACTCTCGATATTGCTCCCTGTACAGCCTAACTAGCTCCCTGTCTTCTAACAGGGAGCAATTGAGCTTCCACAGACCACTTCCTGCCGTCACACCGGAAGAGAGTGAAAGGGTGCAGGAAAGAATTGCGTGATCAGAAAAGAAAACAGGTTCCAATCTAGCATCGGTTGGTGGGCAATCACGTGATAAAATGTAGTCTATGCGAGAGGCTCGGGTGCCATCACTACTGAACCAGGTGAAGCCCTCCTCTCTGGGATGCATGGTTTTAAAACAGTCCACAAGTCTAAAATCACGGCATATGCTTTGAAGTAAAATGAAGTCTTGTCCACTTTAAAATCGTCCCCTATTCTTCTCCTATCGTTCCTGCATAAAATACAATTAAAATCCCCCCCTACAACTAAAGGTGCCCTGCCTAGCATGTGGGGCTGCAAGTCTTCTAAAAGGTCATACCTGTCGTTCTTGTCATTAAAGCCATAAATATTTAAGACGTTGAAATCCTTCCCCATAAAAGTCAAGTGTGTTAAAAGTGCCCGACCATCTCTCACCACAGTGCTGCCCTTCACCAAGACTAGAGGGTTTTTTATTAAAATGGCCACTCCATCATTTTTGTTTTCATTTGAGCCGCTCCATATCGACGTTTGTGGCCATAACTCCTCCCATTCTCTGTAGTGTTTTAAAAATGGTAGGCCGCATTCCTGTATTAAAAACACATCAGACTTAAAAGAGTTAAGAAAGGATAAAACAATCTGGGCTCTAACTCTCGACTTCACACTCCTCACATTGACTGATAAGAACAGATACTACACTTGATCTTAGCCAAAAGGCCGAGAAGCGATAACCCCCGCTGGTTGCTTCCAGCGCCCACCTCCCGGAGCAGTTCTCCCCCTGCCGTGGCGCAGTGGTTTTAACTGCGCATAACAACGGCTGAGTCTCAGCACCTCCTCCCGAGCGCGCCTCGTCGCACCGCTCAACCTTGCCGGGGGCGGCGTTTTTTTATCCTTTTCACAAACGCACGAGGCTCGGCCACACGGCAGAGCCTGCCAAAAATAGTTTTAACTCATTGGCGTCCCTCTCCACGGAAGTCTTTAGTAAAAGGCGAAAGACTTGTACGTTATGAAGAGAAACCCGAGTAAGTACGGGCCCCTCCTCCAGAGCCGCCGACGAGCCTAGTCGTCCCGGCCACTACCCTCACGGTAAGCCTCACTCTGCCTCTCGAGTCCCAAGTACCAGGCCACGCCCGTTCCCCTACCCCTCCCCAGGTCATGGCAGGCTCTATCCAATCGGGCTGCGGAGAGACGAAGGCCTGGCTTTTGGACAGAGGCTACCGAACGACTCGGGCTCTTGTAGCCTCTCGATGACGAGTGAGAGAAAGGGAGGGGAAATGTGGCCGATCGCTTCTCGGCCTTTTGGCCAAGACTGCAATGGCCTCCTCTTTCTGGTTAAAACCTTTGCCGGTTTGGGGCTTCGTTTTGTGTCACCAGCTTTTCTGGGAGGAGATTCACCTCATTCCTTGTGAATAAAATTTCAACTTTGCCGTAGCTGAAAAACTTTTGCAACAAGGAATTCATTGGTCCCGAGGACTGCCTACCTGTCCTCTGCCGGACTGCCACCTTGACCAGACCAAAGACGAGAAGGTAAGTGTGTTTTATTCACCGATTTAGCAGTTGTAGCAGGTTTTCTTGCTTCATTTGAGGTGTTTTAGTTTCTTGTATCCTTTCTACGCTGCGGTTCCTCCACCGTGTTGGCCAACCGTGCCGGGCCTACGGAGGCGCCGCAGTGTCCCCTCCCCACCTTCTGAGAGGCTCTATCCAATCGGAGAAATGAAGGCCTGGCTTTTGGACACAGGCTACCGAGCATCCGAAATACTCGGGCTCTCGATGACGAGTGGGAGAAAGGGAGGGGAAGTGCAGGGCACATTTAACAGCCATGCCGGTCCCAAATATCCCCTCGTCGTCTGCCAATCATAAAGTGCAAATCTCGCTGCCTTCTTCGAGGCTTCAGCTGGCCGCCCCCCCTCGACTGGCGCCTTTTTCGGGCCGGCGTCCGGCAGAGCGACGAACCTCTGCGTTTGGGTCAGTATTTTGGTTTTACACAAGGCAGGAGAAGGGTGCACCGCCCCCGGAGGCACTGCAATACCGGGTCGATGCGTGGAGTGGACGGAGCAAGCCCCTCGTCTCAGCTCCCGGTGCTAAAAATCCATTTAATATGTTGCCCCCTTATAGGGGACATATCAGATATTAAACTGATAAGAACAGATTTTTTTTTTTTTTTTTTTTTGGAAAATATAATTTATTTGTGACATAAACATTCAATACACACATTTCAGTACTTACATCCCACCTATATTAATCCCACATCCAACACAAAACAACAATCCTCCCCCTCGGCATCTCTATACACAGTGTCCCTTTGTTACCTTAATTAGTAAAAAAAAAAAAAAAAAAAAAAACGACATCAACAAAACACAAGGTATACATCAATAACTCATGGAACCCAGTTCTCGAGCCCTCTCTTTTTTTCTTTTTTTCCCATTACGATGCATGGCATGTATGCATGAAGAGACCATAACAAAACCACTCCCATAACCATCATAATAAATCCACAACACCTTCTGTTGACCTCTATGAATTACCATAAATCATTTTCCATCTGTCTTTGATCGAGTCAATACCCCATTTTCTGATCTCTAATTGGTATCGCCTCTCTATTGAGTCTTCAATGCTCTTTATAGTTCCCAACACTGACCACTTGCTTCCTCCATTTAGCCCATCACATCTTACCTCCCACAACTTGTACTTTACTATAGATACGAGAAGCACTACTTTATGCAGTTTCTCCCTCTCCATATTAAATTCCATGTAAAGAACCCCTTCCCATGTCATATCCCTCAAAGACACAAACTTTTTACCCAACCCCTCCCAAATTTGTTGTGCGAAAAAACACTCAAATAATGCATGTTCCACCGTTTCTTTTCCCAAACATCCCTCTCTTGGACAGTACTTACTTCTTGTTAGGCCGTGATTAAACAAGGTGTTTCTTACTGCTAATCTCCTGTGAAGCACCAACCAATTAAAATCTTTCAACTGATTGTCCAACTGCTTAAACTGTGTTCTCTTCCATACTTCAGAAGGAATATGAACAGTTTCTCTTGGGTTGAACCTGGCCATCAATTCCTCATACAGTTTTCTATGATTGAGTACTAAATGACTATCCCAACACTCCTTGTACTTCTTTGCCCAACTGATTATTCCTTTATAGTACAAAGGCATAACCTCAGCTTTGGGAGACCTGTTATCCCATGCTACCCCTAAGGGCCTCAAATGCATAGCAAGCCAAAATTTCATTAAAGAGTGACATTTATGTTTTGGAGGTGACATAGTTATTTTACAGATATTTGAAAAAAAAATCACGTTCAACTTCAACCTGACATTTGGCATGTCTTTACCTCCTCTCTCAATGGGCTGGTACATTATTTCTCTTTTAATATATTCATACCCTCCCCACATGAAATTAAACAACATCCTTTGCAACTTTAAGCAAATCATTGCCGTCATGGGAAAAACACATGCCACATGAAGTAAGGCTGGCAATATATCGGCTTTTATAGCTAGGACTTTGCCACTGAATGACAGTTTTCTCAATTTCCACATGTTGAGCTTTGATAGCACTTTAGCTAATCTTACCTCCCAATTACTTTCAACATCATCCTTATTACCAAAGGATATACCCAATAATGTCATCGGCCCCGCGCACAGGGCAAGCCCATATGGCTTGTCATTCCTATCCTTCCACCTTCCCAGATATTTAATCAGTGACTTCCCTTTATTAATCCTAGACCCTGAAGCACTCGAGAACACTTCAATAACATTAATAGCTTCCTTTAAACAAAAGTCATTTTCTAAATACAATACAGTGTCGTCTGCAAACTGAGATATAACCAATGTTTCCCCACCTGGCAACGGTAGACCCCTGATTTTAGCATTTTTTCTAATTGCACATGCCAAAATTTCAATAAACACAACATACAAAGGGGCTGATGCAGGGCACCCCTGCCTGACGCCCCTGGTTTGCTTAAACAAAACTCCCATGTTGCCATTGACATTAACTCTACTTCCTACCTCTGTGTATAAAATCTTCAGCCAACTTCTAAATCTTTTACCAAACCCAAATCTTTCCAAAATCCTAAATAAAAATTTGTGATTGACCCTATCAAAAGCTTTTTCCTGATCAAGACTGAGCACAATAAGGGGAAAATTTCTATCCTCGGAATAGGCTAGTACATCTCTGTGCATTTGCAGATTCCATTGTATCTGTCTGCCTTGTACTGCACAAGTTTGATCCAGTCCTATAATGAACTCCAAGGCGGATACCAACCTGTTTGTTAGAATTTTACTAAAAATCTTATAATCTGTGCACAACATCGTTAAGGGTCTGTAGTTGGATATATCTCGAACGTCCCCTTTTTTATATAGCAGGGAAATCACCCCCTCTCTCATTGTGCTCCCCATTATCCCAGATGTGCAAATGAAAGTAAACAAATCTAACAACTGAGGCCCAATATCTTCCCAGAAAACCAAGTAAAATTCTTTTGTAAGTCCATCCACTCCTGGCACCTTCCCTTTCTTTAAAGACTGAAGCGCCTTCAAAATTTCTTCCAATTGTATGTCTTTATCCAACTCTAGTTTCAGATAGTCGGGGATTGAGCTATCTACATTATTCAACAGCAGTGAACCCTTACTATAATCTACTATTTCTGCGCTAAAAAACTTGGAATAATTACCCGAAGCAATTTCTACCAGCCCTTCCGGATCGTCAATTTCCTCCCCTCGTTCATTTAGAAGGGAGGCTATTCTCCTTCTCTTTGCCCGTACTTTAGACTGCTTGAAAAAATAGGATGAACATTTCTCATCCTTTTCCCATTTTTCATCAAGACTCCTGAATTTATAAGCCTCAGCCCTCTTATGAAAAAATAGCCTCTGCTCGTTTTGCCAGCGTTTCAATAATTCCTCATCTATGCGCTCACCAGTGTTTTGTTGTGCCATTAAATTTTCTATTGATTTTTGCAATTGATAATATTCTTTAAACTCCGCTTTTCTGGATTCTTTTGAGTACACCTGTATGTAATGTTTAATACGGACCTTTGTGCTTTCCCACCATCCAGATACATTACCATAAAACATCTTCATTTTAATGCACTCCTTGAAGAAACTCCTGAACCCTACCCTAAACTGCCGGGCTCCAAGAATACTGTTATTCAATTTCCAGTACCCTTTCCCAAAACATGTCACCTTCAGGTTTAATACAACAGAGAGCATGTTGTGATCTGAGTAGAAAACAGGTGACACTTGTGCCTCAAACACCTGAAAATCTAACGGACAAAAAATATAATCTATTCTACTCCGTGCCCCTCTACTGTTTCCCCATGTGAAACCAGGGTCATCAGAGTTAAAACTCCTAAAACTATCAACTAAACTGTACTTTTTTACCAAACTATGGAAGTTAACTCCCATGTTTTTGCCCTCACTAGGAGAGTTGAAATCACCTCCAACGATTACATGACGATTGGTCATGAAAACGGTGTCTAACTTAAGAAATAGCTCATTTCGTTCTTTTGGTGCAGCATGGGCATATATATTTACCACTCTTAAACTCTTACCCTTCCAGTCAACATCTGTGACCAAAACCCTCCCCTGTATCACAGAAAAACTCCCGACTATTTTAACTTCCACATTCCCACTTAACGTCCCCACCCCAGATGAGTGAACACCCCCAATGCTCCATCTAGAGTCCCCTTTAACCCACTCTTTTGTGAACCCCTTCACATCCTCCACAGTCT